AGTGGTAGTGAGGTTGGCCCAGGATCAGACGTTGTTTCATTCTGCTGTGCATGGGGTCGCTATGAGTCGGTTCCGACTCGATGGCACCTGACAACAACAACAGTGTATTACAGCATAGTGTCCAAACAAGAGTCACTTACCAGTTAATACAGTGCACAGGCTGTTTACTTACTAATCTGTAGTGCACAATAGCATATCTTTGATATGGTTTAACAGGTTTAATTGTGCGGGACACATTAGCAAATAAATACAAAGTGGGTGTATTGGATAATTCATCAGTTATATGCTTGGATTTATGGCATGAACAAGGAAATGGTTACCTTTTTTTGGATAGTTTAAGAGCAGTTCCCCATCTTCCAATTTCTACTATTTTCACATGTAAACATATGAATTAGTTATGAGCAGATTCCAAAAATTCAGTGTCTGGCTTTGCTAAATAGTAACATTTGGGAAATTTCATTCTCCATCTACCCCAGGTCACCAGTATAAACCTCATATGAATGTTTAGACTAAAGAAACCTGGAAGCCAGAACTTGACAGACTGTCTTTTTCTGTCTTTGACAAGATACACTCTATAGCTATTTGTGGGAAATGTTTTCTTTCTGAGAGGTTTCTACCCAACCACTCCTGGATTTCACGGTTTCACTGTACATACTTTGACAGTAAAAACACTACTGAAAATTGAAAGATGGAGGTTCCTCTGGGTGGTATGTTCTCAAGAAGCCAAAGGGGTCCTGTCACTCCCTCTGGGATTCCCCATTCAAGCCAAGCCAGGGGCCCCATGATCCTCCAGCAATAGTTAGTGGACAAACTGGAGTCCTCTTTCCAGGCCTGTTTTATTTCTCTCTGGTGAGTCAGGACTATGTCAACAGCACTGATGAGGAGGATGAAATTCGAACTGCTGTTGATCAGTGTATCATGTTTTTGGATATCACAAGGCAGATGTTTTTTCTTACAAAAAAAAAAATTAGTTATTGGCGCTGAAGGATCAGCATTGGACTACGAACCACAAAGTCAGCAGTTCAAATCAACCAGCTGCTCCTTGGAAACCCTATACAGGGTCACTATGAGTCTGAACTAACTCAATGGCATTTAATAACAACAATCCAGAAACCAGAGCAAGTTATCAAAGAGGGTATCTCAGAGCTAGGAATGAACTGCAGCGGAAAGATGCCCTGATCCAGAAACATCTGACCAAGCTGCAGTAGCTTGGTGCTGGGCAACATCAATGCGCAGCACAAAAAGCCAGCAAACCCCCTGCAGGGCTCCTTGGCCAAGGAGAGCAGGCATCAGTCAACAACATCCCATGGCCAATAAAGCTGACCTGAAGACCAGATCTGAGCACTGGCCTGAAAACACTCATGCAGAATACTTTTTCTCATGGGTGCGGCCTTGTGGGATTACTCTTTGCCAGAGGAACCTGGTGTTTGTCTTACTCTCCCCACCTGAACTTTTTACCCTAGAGTTTTATGAGCTGTATTTTGAAGTACTTTCTAATATGCTTATAGCTTTGGTATGCTAGGCATATTTGTCTTTCAGTTTAGACTTACTGATTCCTTATGTTTTTTTAGCTTTTTGTTTTATTTTCGTATCTTTTAACCCGTTCCTGTACATGTATAGTCAGATGACTTTGTATAATTGATGGTGGTGGTGATGTCCTGTGGAGTCGATTCCCACTCATAGCTACCCTGTATAGGATTTCTGAGGCTGTAAATCTTTATGGGAATAGAAAATACCATCTTTCTCTCAGGGAACAGCTGGTAGTTTCGAACCGCTGTCCTTGAGGTTAGCAGCCCCTCAATCCACTATGCTACCAGAGGAAATTACACTCATCTGAGCATCAGCAGGATTTGGAGTTGTAAGTCTTCTGTGATAATTATTCCTCAGTACAGCCATACCTCAGAGATATTGGGGGTTCAGTTCCAGACCACCTTAAGTATTGCAACAAAGCAAGTCACACAATTTTTCTTGTTGTTTTGTGGTGCATATATCATTTGTGCTTATGCTATACTATAGTCTATACAATTGCTAAGAACGTGGAGTCGGTTCCGACTCATAGTGACCTTGCAGTTTCTGAGGCTGTAAATCTTTACAGGAGCAGAATGCCTCACCTTTATCCCACAGAACAGTTGGTAGTTTCGAACTGCTGACCCTGAGGTTGGCAGCCCGACTCGTAACCACTGTGCTACCAGAGCTTAGTCTATGCAATAGCATGATGAAAATGTTTGAAATGCGGTGAGAATGATCAAAATGTGACTGACGTGTACGAACATGCTGTTGGAAAAATAGCACCCATACGCTTGCTCAGTGCAGGAGTGCTACTACTAACCTTCCATTTGTTTTTCTTTTTTAAAATCTGCTCTGGTAGTGTAGTGCTTACAAATCGGTCTGCTAATTTCAGACCTTGCAGTCCACCGCATTAACTCGCATAAAACTTATTCAAGGTTGCTGAGTCAGAACTGATCTGACAGCACTTAACATGCCTATTGTTGTTCCAACCCACAACCCTGTAGATTCCAAGGAGCAGCTGGTGACCCTGAACCACTGACTTTGTGGTTCAAGTTGATTTTGTAATTCAATGCATTAACCCACAGAGCCACACCAGGACTCCAGTAGTGTGGATATGCATGTAAATGTGAGCTCTTCCAGACTTTTGAACTACTAATGCAATGTCTGTGATGCATCTAGGTTTCTCAGAATGAGGATATTTTGTCACACCATTAGTTTCATTTTGGTATTGTTTTGCTTTTCTGGACCAATTCCCATCAAGGCAAGTTCTTGATAATAGATGCTCTTCATGGGGCCCCAGTGTAGGAGGTGGCCTGTAAGTATGGTGCTGTAGGATCAGCACTGGACTGTGAACAATGTCAGCAGTTCAAACCCAACAGCTACTCCTCAGAAAACCTATAGTCACTCAGATCCCACTGATGGCAGGTAACAAGCAGGTGGAGAGTAGGTGGCTCTGGGATGCTGAACTGCCTCAAAAGCAAACCCACTGGCCTTTGGGAACATATCCTCTAACTTCATAGATGCCTCAGCCTCTTGATCTGCTAGCAAGATAATGTACTGGATTGCCAAGGCCAGTGGTTCAAACTGATCAGGCTGTTCCTGGGAAATCCTATACAGGGTCAATTGGGTCAGAACTGGCTTGATGGCAGTTAATAATCCAACATAACACTCTTCTGCCTCTGGTACACTTGAGACCTGGCCATTTGCTCCTTTTGGTTTCTTTAACCTCTAAGGCCCATCCCACAAGCATCCAAATTCACTCATACTTCCTGGTCCAGGAGCCTTTTAACCCCTTTCCTCTGCATCCCAGGACAGAGATTTTGATCCATTCTCTAACCCATGATTCAAGTCTATCTCTACCCTTTGCCACAGTGAAGTCCATAGTAATTATGCATTGTTGTGGTCACTTCTGACTCATTTTAAGTACCTTGGAGTCAGTTCTGACTCAGTGACCCTGCACAGGGTTTCCAAGGCCACACCTCATCTTTCTCCCACAGAACCGCTGGTAGTTTTGAACCAATGACTTTGAGGTTGGCAGCCCAACTTGTAACCACTACATTACCAGAGCTCCTAGTGGCCCTGATTAGGGCTTCTGAGGACTGGCAGGTAAGCTTGAACCACCATACGTGCAGTTCAGTGGGATACTGCAGTCCAGTGCATTAACCCAGAGCCACACCATAACTCATTTGTTGTTAAGTGCCCTTGAGTGGATTACAACTTACAAATCTGTATAGGGTTTCCAAAGAGCAGCTGGTGAGCTAGAAAACCACTGACTTTGCAGTCTGAAGCATTAGCCCACAGCACACCAGGACTCCTAGTAACCCTTTAATAGGGTTTCTGGGAAGTGGCCAGACTTTGTGATTCAAACCAACCTAGTGATCATGCATTGCTATTAAGTGCTATGGTTTAGTGACTTTGTATAGGGTTTCCAAGCAGCAGCTGGTAGGTTTAAACTACTGACCTTGTGGCTTATCCTACATTGCCACACCAGGACTTCACATATACAAGGAGATTTCAAAAATAAATCAAACTTTAAGAACATAAATACTTAATTCACCCAATTAAATGCTAGAATGGTTGTGGTCCTTTAGTGTTTTCTTTTCCCCTGGTATGGCACTGTGAGTTAATGCACTGGACTACAAGGTGGGTTTGAAGTTCACCAGCCTCTCCTCAGAATCCCTATACACAGTGTCTCTTTGAGTAGGAATCAACTAGATAGCACTATTGGAAAATGTTAAGTGCCTTCATGAGTTGGTTCCAACTCAGTGATCTTATACAGGGTTTCCGAGGAGTGGCTGGTGAATTTCAACTGCTGATCCGTTGGTTCAAACCCTACACTACCCACCAGGACTCCTAGAAGTCAACAGTTCCTTGGATCAATTGTGGGCATTTTGACAAAACATTAAAACCTGACATTTCAAAGTGCATTCCAAGTAACAATTCTATTCCAAGTCACCATTCACTTGCTTTGTGACTGGATTAGTTCAGAGTAACCACCACCACCACATTCAAACCCTTTTTAATCTCTAATTTTATTCATGCTCAACTTTTAATAATTCACTCTATAGGGGTTAATTCACTCTTGTGGATGGACATAAAGCAAGGTTTATACAATATTATGAAGGGAATACATGGAAAATCAAACAGACCTTAAAAACCATTTCAAACAGGTCTTAAAAATTAAAACACTACTCAGAATCATATTCAAAACAGCCTATAATAAAAGTTTAAAAACTTACAGGATTTGTTAAATGCAATTCCAAGGAGCTGTTGGTGCATCTGAACCATCAAACTTGGCAGTCCAGTGATTATCCTACAATGCCACACCAAAACTCCAAAAATAGGGTAAAAGATCTTTATTTTACAGTATGTATAATTACACAATTAAATTACCATTAACAATATATAATATTAAACAAATTTAAAGTACTCATTTTAAAGCCTGACAAGCACTTCAAATACACAAATGTTAAAATGATAAAACTATATAAGCAACTTTTCCTTCAATGACTCTAGCTCACTAGTTCAGGCTGAACATTCACTCTTCGAAGCACTTCTTCAGGCATACAAAACACAGGACTAACAGGTTTAATCTGCTCTTCTCCCAAAAGTGATAGTCCAGCAATTCCAAATAAAGTATGAAACGGATCTACCTATTTAAAAAAAAAAAGGAAGAATTTACATGCAATGAAATGAAGCCCTTTGGTGGTCATGCTATGTTCTATCATAAAGACTGACCACTTTGTGTTGTTAGTATCTAGAAATGTCTGGCCCACCAAATTTAATAATTGAGACACAGTTAATTTACCATAATCTGGCTATAAAATTCACTGTACACAATTGACCAAGACCATACCTCAATTCATCCAGCTGTTTCTCTACAATTTATGTGCATTCTTCAGAATTTCCTAAGTTAAAAATACATGGTGCTTAACATAGGACCTACACTCACTGATACTGGCAGTAGATTTCTATACACTTCCATGTGTTATTACATGCCTTCAAATTGGTTCCAACTCAGTGATCATGTATTGGGTTTCTGTAGAGTGGCTAGTGAATTTGAGCCGTCAACTTTGTGGTTAAGTGCATTACTCCAGTGCCACATCAGGACTTCATACATCCAAGAAAAAGGAACCTGCTTTTAAAATTATTTTTGAGCAGTCACTTTCAAAAGAACTCATAGACTACAACCCATGTCTAAGTCTGGCAATGTCTAGAATCACAAGATAAAGCAAACTAACACATAAAAAAGCTACAGTGTTGTAATACCTTGATGGCTTTTCTAATGTCTTAATTCCAACCAACTGATTGGGTGGGGTAATGCAAATAAGGTGTATAGAACTCTAAGGCTGGGATTGGTTAGTTTTGTCATCTCAGAAACAGGACCAAAGGATCTCAGGACCATCAAGAAGGAAAAGTGGTGGCATGAAGAGACAGAGCAGCTGTGGGCTCTAAGTCAATGGACTGAGAAAAGCCTACAACAGGCAAGAGACTGGCTTGTAGAATATAACCTTTGGGCATTCACAGACTAGCTAGAAGAGCTTTCTAACATTTGTCTGATAAGGGAGAGACCAAGGGACCACAGATGGCTGAGAGGCACAAGACAAGAGTGAGGCATGCCACACTATGGCAGACAGAAGGCATTCCTGACAAGAACTGCTGCATCCTGAGTTTTGATCCTGATCTGAATCCTGTTCACAACAAACCCCATCATCACTGAGTGCTGTTAGTTCTGTGTGGTCACTGCAATAGCTTCTAGAGTCCAGATGTGAAGCTGACTGTGCTACGGGAGGGACGGTTGGTGTCAGAATAGGGTTTCGAAGGTAGTAGGGTAGAGGCATGTCTAACCTGGCTTCATAGGAAATGGCCTTGGATATAGATTTTGAGTTTGATTCTCTTTCATCCTTGTGAAGCCAAAGTCAGTCAGACATGGTCTCAATATGGTTTATGAAGGTTTACAGGAATGTTTCTAATATACTTACCATATCTCCTGGCCTGTCTGCAAATCCTCCAGTTTCTTCATCTTGACATGCTAAAATGAAACTTCGCAGTTTCTCTCTGTCAATCCAATGAAGCCTTCCAATTATCTTTAGGGAAGCCAAAACCCACCATGAATAGCATACATCTGGTAACTAGAAAAAAAGAGTTCTTACAGTTTTATTCTTTAGGTTTATTCTCTTGCTTAATGTTTACTCTAGAATATAAAAGACCAAAAACAAAACAAAAACTTTTAAAAAGTCAGTATTAAGGCAGTTTCTAAGAGTATTTAAAATAAAAAAATCTGGATTAATATACCAACCCTATATGTTATACTTGTATAAAGATCAATCTTTCAAGTTTTAAAAGTGATATGGATTAAAAAAACCAACAAACCCATTATTCAAATGAAAGTGTAATTAATATTAAACATACAAGACAAAGAATAGATTTCACTGAAGTTTATGAAGTTTACCTTCTCTGGCCTTCCATTGAGTCCACCTGATGGTAACTGTCGTTCACAAAGCCACCAACCGAGTAAATCAGAGTTTACTTGATGCAACTGACTAGTAATAGCAAGGAATCCTGTGCAACAATATATCTAAAATTACAGACATAAAGTATACACATATAAATTTTAACAGTAAAATCCTATTTCCTAACATTTTTTTCTTGCTTCAGACATTAGCTGCACAGTAGGTTTGAACCACAAATTTGGCAGTTCACTCACCAGTTGCTCCTTGGAAACCCTCTGCAGGGTTGTTATGGGTTGGAAGCAACTCGATGGCACTTGTCAACAACTAGTTGTATTTTGTGTTGCAAGGCCAACAGTTCAAACCCATCAGCTACTTCTTGGAAAACGAGGTTGTTGTCTGCTCCTAAAAAGTATAGTCTCGTAAACCCTAACTGGGCCTGATTTTTTTTTAATGTATCTACTTGAATACACCTACGCATATTATTGCTAGGTTCCAATTCTGCATTAAGCATGGTCAAAATTTCTCATTTTTCTCTGGTACATCAACTAAATAGATTCCTTTTTATTAACTTTGGGTAGCACAGCCACTTTAACTCTCCTGATGTCCTGGTGTGGTACTGTATGATAAGCACAGGACCACAGGGTTGGTCTGAACCACAAGATTCACAGTTCCAACTCAACAGTAGATCCCCAGAAACCTAGGTTGCTATGAGTTAGTTCTGAATTATCAATGTAATTCTCATGATGTATCTAATCATAATACACTCACTGAAATTACTATTAACACATACTGGTTCTGTTCAAGATTTGCATTATTATTACCTGCCCCGCATGGGATTCAGAACCAGGTCTGCAACCAAATCCACCATCAAAGTTCATACATGACAAAACAAATTCAATGGCCTTCTCCACATTAACAGCATCTAGCTTTCCCTACAAACAGAAAAATATGCCTTTTTAATTCCATAGTACTTCCACCTGGGCTTAAATACTACACTGAAACATTGAAAACTTACCAATAGAGCCAATGTTGCCACAGCACAGAAAGAAAATCTTGTGTCAATTTCTCCTAAGAGAACCAAAACAAATATTTTATTTACTAAGTATTTTATTTAGTTACCCTTAACTAAAGCTTCATTTTAGTTAATATTCAGACATTTTTGGGTCTCAGTGTAATTCTAGAGCTAAAATAGTAATAATCAACTTTACGTTCAGAATACATGCCAACTCATCATAGACCCAAAAAGCAGAACCTTCTAAACCATGTTAAATTTCTTCAAAAGTTTAATTTAGGAGGAAAACTAACCTGAAGTTAAATGACTTTACTGCTAAGAACTAGAAAATTGCTTTTACACAGAGCAAATTAATTTGAGTTGCTTATAGAACTCAGTAATAGAAATTAACAGAACTAAAGGCACTAGTGAAATTTTCATGTCATTAAACTTACCCTAATTTATAAAAGTAGATTTCCACATCCCATGAAGCAGCTGGTCTCTCCGTCCCTAAAGCAGAGATTAACTGCATTTATCAATTAAAATGGTATTCCCTCCCTCCATTCACATATTCAGTAAGTTTATAAAGTTTTAAAAATATTTTTTGCATTTCTAATATTTAAAAAACTTTACAAAGACACCAAATATTGCAGGGGGACCTTCACCTACCTTATGTTTTAGATTGGCCCCTCTGTTCCAGTGTTCCTGTAAGCTGATATAACTACCACAATGCATGCTGGAACATCCAGCAGACCCATTAAACTCCCATTAGACCAGCTGCTTAGTGGGACCTGAAAAAATGAAACTTAAAAAAATAAATTTTCAGTTTCCACAAATACATTTAAACACAGCTTTATTCCATAACCTACTTATAAACTGTTTCAAGAAAAGCTTCCAAAAATTTCAAAAACAATCACTGCAAAGCCCCAAATTATCATTTATTGCCTGTTGAAGACTTTTTTAAAAAGTTGTTTATTCCTAGAATAAACATAAAAATGACACAAATATTGGTATTTTTAGGTACTATGGAGTAAATTTTGTCATTACCCCAAATGTCTCCAGCAAAAGAACCATCTTCTTTCTGCAGACTTTGAACATATTCCACAACTTTATTTACATCAATAGCATTAATACTATCATACAGAGTAAGTATCTGTAATAAAAACAATCCACATTAAGTAAATTTATCTCTTCAAAATAGCTAAATTTGTTTTATGCTATTCAATGTCTACATTTAAAAGTTGCCAAGAAAGCCGTATTTGTCTGCATACAATAAAAAATATAGACCTTTCACTTTGCAGTTCAAACCCATCAACTACTCTGGATTCCCTACATAGGGTCGCTATGAGTCAGAACCAACTTTTGAGTATACACAAGATACCATCCAAGGTCTCAGCATAATTCTAGAGCTTGTTGCTAACACATCAACATTAGATTCAGCTAATACATGCCATCACATCATTGACCTTGTAGGTTAGAGACTTCAGTTGAAAAAAACTGATGTGACTTTTAGGGTCTTCATTATACCTAGTTTCCATTCCCCCCATGTTCAAGCTATAATACACTATACCAAAATTAAATTAGAATGATTATTTACCTGGACAGCACTAAGTGTATACAAAAGATGAGGATCGTGTCCAATACTAGCACTTATTCCACCAGATTCATGTTGGCATGACTTAATAAACATCAGTATTTCTTCTCTATTCATGCGATGAAGTTGTCCCATGAGATCCATTACTGTCAGACCCCAGTAGATGCCACTCATTCTCAAATACTCAGACATACAGTATTCCTAAAACAAATAATTTTATTGAAAGCAGTGAGGTACTGTTAAAATTTCCATGATCATACCTTTACAACAGTTGATATCTGTCTCTGCAATTTACATGTCATTTCCACATGATTTATTAATCTGAAAAATCAAGTATGATCAGCAGCTTTGATAAATTTCTCTATGCTAAAGAGTTTTATTGCTCTCTCCCCAAAGCTAAATAGAGGTTTAATGTCAGTACTATTGAATGTTTCTGACACATACGTTTTCTGAAAGGAACTCTGGTAGCGTAGTGGTTACAAGTTGGGCTGCTAACCTTAAGATCAGCAGTTTGAAACTACCACCAAGCTGTTCTGTTAAAGATGAGGCTTTCTGCTCCCATAAAGATTTACAGCCTTGGAAACCCTATACAGGGTCAATATGAGTCAGAACCGACTCCATGTGGCATATAACCAAACAACCAACCATCCTTATCGTACAGTGCCACACCAGGATTAGTCAAATTAAGTCAGTTTAATAGTTTAAGAAAATGAATTTACATATTTAATAGATGGTCAGTCTTCAAACTCACCTATGGCTCCGGGCAAACACTATGCAGGATGTCACCATGAGTTGGAGTGACTGGAAGGCACACAATACCACCACAAAACCTAGTGTCTATTAATAAATTACATACCTGCCTTCCTGGAAACAAAAATGACCTAGGCAATCTAGGCTTTAAGCCAAAATAAAATCATGGGTAAGACATGGACACATGAAAATTTTTGCTAGTCATCAAATCTCAATCAGGCTGTTTTCTTAGTCATTTGCTGCCAGCCCTGAACCAGAGTTTAAAAGTGGGAGGGGATAAAAAGGAGAATGTCAAGGTCTACCCTTTTTGCCCAGAGCGGGGGTGGGGGAGGGGAAGCACACTGGGCCATAGTTCATGAATTACCACTACAGAGCAGGAACTTCAATGTGGAAGGAAAAGTCTCTAAGATTATCCTAGAGAAAATATCAGTTTAGTAGTGTTTTCCAATAAAACTTTTTCAAGGTCTCAGCGTAATTCTAGAGCTAAGTGCTATTACACATCAGCAGCAAATTCAGATAATACATGCCAACACATCATCGACCTTGAAAACTACCATAACCACATAGTGACCTATTCAGTCTCAAAACGTCAATGTAGGAGCAATTATTTTGAATCCAAGCTACATATGCAGAAATTGACAGTCATTTTTTAAGATATCTGGGATATGATACTGTATTTCCATGCTCATTAGCAATGTAGTTGCACTTCTTAAAAGTAAAATGATACATACATAATCGTCTTTCTTTGAGCCATATGATGCTATATAATCTGCATGTTTCTCCAGCAACAGAGTGCCCGGTGCATCTGACTTGATAACAACATCCTTCTGTGGCGTGCCCTTTCAAAATACAAAACAGCAATCATCTCACATATGTACACATTTTCTCAAATGTTCTTCCCCAGAGCACACAACGGTACACAGCATGTATCCACATTGCTCATTATCTTTCATAAGTGTAGTGAAAAAAGTCATTCTCAAAGCTCAGTAATTCTGGGCAATTTAGTTTGCATGAAGCAAGCCAAGTGTTTTTCAAAAACCTAGCTTACAATTTGCAGTTAGGGATCCATAGTCTTTCAATTCTAGTTTTCCACGAATCTTTTGAAATCACCTTCACAAAGGTAAATCCAAACTTCTCTACACTCGAAAAGCTATCCTCTTCAGCCTCTTTACAGCATTTTAAAAAGCCCCTAGGTAATGCAGATGCTTCATAAAGATAACCGAAGACCAAGTTGCAGATTTTCTTCGGATATCATGTAAAAAATTATATCCAGCTCTTCAACGAAAACGACTAATCATTTTAAAAGAAAATTCTTTAGGTTCAACGGAGAAAACGGCCCCACACCAAGAAAACCCTGTATAAAATGGAAAACGGAAACTGCGCCCGCGAGGTCAGTAGAAAACGCTGAGTAATACTCCCAACAGTCGAGTCGTTGAGGAATCTCCCAAGGCCTCTGTTAGAAATCAACTCTTTCAATATTCACTAAACGACCCTATGGTAACTGAGCTGCTCGATTTGACCCTCCACGGCTTCCTCCCAGCTGCACTAATGAAATGCATCAGACACGTCCGTACTCACCATGTCTGCAAAGGAAAAGAAAGAAGACACGCACTTCGTAGGAAGATTTAAGCGCCAGCGCCTGCGCAGAAGCTCACCTCAGGCCCCTTCCGCGCCCTGGCATAGTTGACTACACTCCCGCCTGAAGGACGGAGCTGTTGCATTGCCATAGCAGGACCCCAAAGGCTGATTATAGGTGTCCTCGCTGCCTGTGCCCAAGTCTGTATCGACCATTTTCTCATTGGAAGTTTGACAGAAAACAAAACTAAGTCCATTGGCTTGGAATTGATTCCAACTCGTACTGACCCTATACGACAAAGTAGAACTACTCCATAGGATTGCTGAAGGTATAAATCTTTCACAGATTACTGCGTCACAGGACTCATTTGACATATCACCAAAACAAATCCACCGCCATCTAACGACACTTGTTGTGACGTGCCGTCAAGTCAGTTTCGACCCATGAAGACCCTGTATAGGGTTTCCGAGGAGCAGCTGGTGAGCTTGAACCGCTGACCTTGCGAATCAGACCGACTTTCCAGACCAGTGCATTAGCCCACCGTGCCACATCAGGACTCCCTTATGGGAGTTGTTGTTAAATGCCATCAACTCGGTTCGCACCCATTGGAGCAGTTGGTGAGCTTGAACTGCTGACACCTTGAGGTTCAAACCGACTTTGCAGTCCAGCACATTAGCCTACAGCGCCACTTCAGGAGCATTCACCTTCAGTTGATCTAAAATGGTTTTAAACACTTATTAAACATCTGTATTGCTTTTAAGAATCTGTTAAGGCTCTTTGAACTCAGGCAATCAGAAACGGCTAGTAACAATACAGGAGTAGCATTTGGGCAGTATTCCAAACAACTTGCTGAGAGCAAAAATATGACCTTGAGTAAACTTGAGCTACTCATAACAACCCTGTATAGAGTTCCCATGGAGCAGCTGGTGCTTATCCTACTGCGCCCACCAGAACTCTGACCTTTAGTATACCACCCACCCCTGAAGAAGGGCATCATGCTTGGAAAAGCAGAAAGAAAGGGAAAAAGAGGAAGACCTCCAACAAGATGGATTGACACAGTGAAAGCAAAAGTGAGCTCAAATATGACAATAAGGAGGATGGGCCGCGACTGGCTAGTATTTTGTTCTGTTGTGTATATCATCGCCATGTAGTGGAATCAACTGGACAGCGCCTCAACACAACAAACAACAAAAATTTTGGCATATAGTAAATGTTCATTAAGAATGTTTGGATGTTGTTGTTGTTGTTGTTAAGTGCCGTGGAGTCGGTTCCGACTCATAGCGACCCTAAACAGGGTTTCAGAAGAGGCTGTAAATCTTTACGGGAGGCTGTAAATCTTTACGGGAGCAGAACGCCTCCTCTTTCTCCCACGGAACTACTGGTAGTTTCGAACTGCTGACCTTGCGGTTCACAGCCCGATTGGTAACCACTACGCTACCAGAGCTCCTTAAGAATGTTTGGATAGATGTTATTAAAATATTTACATTCCCTTCCTTTTGATCTGTTCATTTCAGCTCTAGTCCTCTCCGATCTCCTCCACTAATAATTGAAACATTTGTAAGTTACTTTAGAAAAAGAAGCACCCATGTTCCCTCTTACGAGTTCTCCACAGATTTCTTATTTGCCAATTGAATCCTGGTGTGGCGCTGTGGGTTAATGTGCCACACTGCAAAGCCATTTGAACAGCAAGGTTGGTGGCTCAAGTTCACTAGCTGCTCCTAGGAAACCCTATATAGGGTCGATTTGGGTCGGAATCGACTCGAAGGCACTGAACAACAACAACTGCAATGCAGCTACAGTTATTTTCATATGTGTGTTTCTTGAGTCTTTCACTCTCAACAAGGGTTTTTGAGCACCAAGGTGCCATAGTAAAAGCTCTGGACTGCTAATCGGAAGGTCAGCAGTTGTGCTCCACCACTTGCTCCTCAGAAACCCTATACAGGGTTGCTGAGTCAGAAATAACTCGATGGCACTTAACAAGAAAATGTCAACACCCTACCACCCAATTCCTGTAAACTGATAGGTTTCAGGAACCATTTGGAAAAGGGTACTTCATACTGAAATATAAAAAGCATTAAAATATCCTATTATGATGATGTTGTTGTTGTTGATAAGTACCGTGGAGTTGGTTCCGACTCATAGTGACCCTGCACAGGGTTTCCAAGGCTGTAAATCTTTATGGGAGCAGAAAGCCTCATCTTTCTCCCACGGAAAGGCTGATAGTTTCGAACTGCCTACCTTGAGGTTAGCAGCCCAATTTGTAACCACTATGCTATGGACTTCATTATTCTCCTTATAACATTTTGTTTCTCATTTATAATTTATTGTTGTTAAGTGCAGTTGAATCAGTTCTCTTAGCTACCCTGTATAGGCTTTCTGAGAAGAGGCTGGTAAGTTTGAACCACCAGCCTTGAAGTTCAAATCAACCTTGAGGTCCAGTGCTTATCTTACAGTGCCACACCAGTTTGGGCTACTTTATTAAATACATACAAGTTTAGAATTATTACACATTGCTGGTGACCATTTTATCATTAAATTATGACCTCCTTTAGCTTTCTAATCATGCTTTTTGTCTTAAAAAGGCTATTTTGACTTCTAGACTCCTGGTGTGGCTCTGTAGGATAACCACCAAACTGGTAACAGACAAGGTCGGCAGTTCAAACCAACCAATCGCTCCTTGGAAACCCTATGAAGGTTGCTATGAGTCGAAACTGACTCAACAACTCAATGACACTTAACAACAATGTAACTTCACCACCTTTCTTTTGGTTATAATTAATCTGGTATGGATTTTTTCCAGCATTTTACCTGCAACCTTTTTGCCCTTATGTCTTACCAATGTGTCTTGCAAACAGCTTAAGAATTATTTTATGTCCATTTTCTGTCTTTTAACCAGTATCCTCAGTCCTTTTACATGTACATATTGTGGTTATTTATTTAATTGGATTTGTTTAAAAGTTGCAAACTCTATTATTTTAATGAATACCTTGAAACTGGGAACACTGTGGCTCTATAGGATAAGCATTGGACTGTGTTAACCATAAGGTCAGCCGTTCCAGCCCACCATCTGCTTTGGGGGAGAAAGATGAGGCTTTTGGCTACCATAAAGATTTACTGCCTTGGAAACCCTATACAGAATTACTAGAAGTTGGAACTGACTCTGGCACTTAATGTTATTGTTGTTAAGTGCCATTGAGTCAGTACCGACTCATAGAAACCCTATGCACAACAGAATGGGCCAACCTCACAATTGTTGCCACACTTAAGCTCATTGATGCTGCCAGTTTGTCAACCCATCTCTCTGGGGGTCTTCCTCTTTATCTCTGACCCTCCACCCTACCAAACATGATATCCTTCTACAGCGACTGGTCCCTCCTAACAATA